ATTATGCCAAAACCGTGACCAGCTGCTACGAGACTCATAACATCAATTTTATCAAAAAAGTTGACAATCCGCCAGCCGTACCGGAGTGTCGCCCAATCGAAGACTTTTGGGCTATTTTGAAAGGCAAAGTGTATGAGAGTAACTGGCAAGCAAAAGACGTGAAACAACTACGAACCAGAATAAAGCTTTGCCTGAAAAAAATTGACCTTAACCTTGTATTTTCACTTTTTGGGTCAACTCGTGTTAGAGTTGGCCGAATCCGAAGAAACAGACAGGTTGAAGACAAACTTAATTAAAATAAATAAATAACTAAAAACTCTTTTTAATGATAGTTTTATTTAATCTCTACCATAAAAACTTTGGGAGTAATTGCACTTAAAAGTTTGTCCGGATTTTTAGTAACCACCCGTTATGAAAAGATTGCGATAACGTAATGTTATCCTTATCTTCTTTGAGCCCCTATCTGATTTAACTTAATTTTGTTGTAATGTATATACTTTTATATTTTATTTTATAAGATTCCATATGTATACGTGCATTGTAATAATATTATACAATGTTAATCAGAAAAAAAAATAATAATAAAAAAAAATAAATAAACAAATCATTTTAAATATTTTAATTAGATAAATTCTTCTCTTCTTATTGCCTTTTCAACCATCTTCTCATATTTATATAAAAGGCATTGCACTGTTGACTATAATTATTATCAGGTAATAAAATATATTCTAGAGTTTCTTTAACAGTCATATCGGGATTAGCATTTCTCGTGGATTTGAAATTGGATTTTAACATTGAAAAGAACTTTTCGATCGGGTTCAATTCAAGGGAGTATGGTACTAAAAACTTGTGAGTAATATTTTTTTCTCTTAGTAATTGAAGTACTGCAGTTTTATGAAATTTTGCATTTTTGCAATTTTGCTTTATGAAATTTTGCATTATCTAGGATAAGGATTTTATTTGGATTTACTGCAAAGAATGGTACTAGTATGTTGTTGATGAAATCAATAAATGATTGTGTATTGTATGCGCCGCTTTTGTATTGGTAACATTCAACTCCTAAATTGGAAATTAAGCACACGAGGCTAACATTTTGTCCTTTATTTGCAGGAACTGTCAAGTACGCTTTTGTATCTTTTGGAGAATAGCCATATGAGCGCACTGTATGTTTATTGAATCCGGTTTCGTCTAAAAAAACCAAATTTGAATCAGCAATTCTAGCAACTTCTGCCGCAAAAATTGATCTCTGATTTATTCTTTCCATGGTGTTTCTTTCTTGAGGAATGATTGCTAATCTTTTTCGTGTCAAATATAATTTCTTTAACTTACGGGAAACAAACGAGATTGAAACGTTTTTACTATGTTGTTCTAAAATTTGCGTTTAAATTTCTTTTTGAACTACGGCATTGTTACAGACCACGGAATTATTGTTACAGACCACGGAATTATTGTTACAGACGACGGAATTATTATTACAGACCACGGAATTATTGTTACAGACCACGGAATTAAACATTGTCTGTTCAATGTTTGTATTTATAGAATTTTTGATTTTATACGTTTCTTTGCTTTTTACTGTACGCGAAGGGTATATTACTATTTTTTATAACACGACTAACAGCATTTCGAGTTAAATTACAAGCGTTGGATATTTCCTTGATTGAATATTTTTCACAATTTCTCATTGAAATAATCGTATTTTTAGTTTCTTCTGTAATTGTTTTCCGTACTTTTCTTTCCATTGATATTTAAAATATAGAAGTTAAAATTAATTTTATAAATGCATTTATAACTTTACAAACGTGCTCTTATAACTTTGCAAACATGCACTTATAACTTTGCAAAACCCTGTAATTAAGTCAAATTGTAGTTAAAAGTGTAGTAGAGATGTCTGTTTGTATCTATCAAATCATAAATGTTTTAACAGGTAAGCCATCTTTAGTTAAAAAATATTTATTCCTAAATTGTTCCAATTAAAGTAACTCTCCCTACATAAATACATGGCTGGGGCAAAAAAAAGACAAATTCAGTCTTTCCACTAAGTCCCTTAAGAAAAAGTGTAAAAAAAAGTATATATATATATATATATATATATATATATATATATATATATATATATATATATATATATATATATATATATATATATATACACAAAATTAAATATATATACACAAAAAATATATATATATATAAATATATATATATATATATATATATATATATATATATATATATATATATATATATATATATATATATATATATATATATATATTTCAAACTATATTGTTTCTTTTTTTAGAAATGAAAACCCAAAACTATATTGTTTTGGGTTTTCATTTCTAAAAATTATTTTGAAATTCTAATTTATTAAAATTGGATTTATAAATTAATGCATGAAACAATTGAGATATGAAAAAAGGATTAAACAAAAAATTCTGGAGAGCAATCTGATTCGTCTAACTACCGTCCCATTAGTCTTTTTCCTATCATAACCAAGGTTTTTGAATCTTTAATTAACAAACACTTAATCTCTCATCTCAAATCTCATAACCTACTTTCTAATCATCAATATGGATTTCGATCTTCTCGTTCTACAGCTGATTTACTAACAGTAATAACCGATAGGTTTTATCGCGCATTAGATAAAGGTGGAGAGGTTAAAGCCATCTCTCTTGACATTTCTAAAGCGTTTGATAAAGTTTGGCATGCTGGTCTTCTCCATAAGCTTTCTTCTTACGGTGTATCTGGAAACATCTTTAAGATTATTGAATCCTTCCTTTCCAATCGTAGTATAAAAGTTGTCCTTGATGGTCAGCACTCTTCTTCTTATTCTGTAACCTTAGGGGTTCCTCAAGGTTCAATCCTTGGCCCTATACTCTTTTTAATTTACATTAACGATCTTCCAGATATTCTCACATCTAAGGTGGCATTGTTCGCTGATGATACTACCATTTATTCTTGTCACGATAAGAAGCCAACACCCTCTGATTGCTTGCAGAGGGCATCTGAGCTTAAAAAGGATCTCACTTCTGCTACTGCATGGGGCTCATTGTGGCTGGTGAACTTTAATTCAGATAAAACTCAATTTTTTTCAGCCAATCGTTATCGCAATAATGCTCTTGCAGCCAACCTTCAACCTCTGTCACATCGTCGTAATGTTGCTTCTCTTTCTCTTTTCTACAAATATTATAATATATAGCGTCTCTTGTGCCATCCACTAAAATTCATTCTCGTGTTACTCGTCATTCAATTAAGTCTCATCTTTTTTCTGTGGCTGTTCCTAAGTGCTCCAAAAACTCTTATTCGTCTAGTTTTTTTCCTCGAACATCTTTTCTTTGGAATTCGCTTCCTTCATCTTGCTTTCCTGATTCATATAATTTGCAATTTTTTAAGTCGTCTGTCAATCGTTATCTTGCTCTACAATCTTCATCTTTTCTCTTCCAGTAACTTCCAATACTAATTAGTGGTTGCTTGCAGCTTTGTTGGAAGCGAAGATGTTAAAAAAAAAAAAAAAAAAAAAAAAAAAAACCAAAACTGATTGGTTAGATAAAACGTAATAATATTGGAAAGTTGAGTACAAATGTTCATCACATATGTAAAGGTTATTTTGTTCACTCCATTTACGGATAAATTGTTTAGATTATTGCCAGAAAGAGTGAATCCTCAACGCGATCCTGTTCAACTAGGCTAAAATATAAAAAAATTACATAAATTATTGGGTAGGCATGGGGAAGGGGGGAAAGGTATTTAGAAGAAGTGTAATCCCCATCCCCTCCCAAAATAAAAGATTGTAATTGATAACCCTATTAGTACTGAAGTCAAGTTGGGGCACTACCCCCATGGGGTAGGGGAGGCTTTGCCCCAAGATACATAGATGTATATTCACAAAAGTTTGGGTTGCTATGACTGTTGCTTCATGTTGCGCAATAATCTATTGATAGTAATTATAGTAAATTGATTGTCAAAGGAGAGTTTTACATATAATTGTCATAAGGGAATGGCTAAGGTTTTGCAATTGTTAATGATTATCTGATTCAAGAATAAGTAATGATTTTCCTAAGGAAATTAACTTTGTAAATATTATTAACAAATTAACTTTGTAAATATTATTGCATTTGCGGTGCTTGAATTAATTAATTAAAAAATGAATTAAATATTCACCCCAAAATTAAACAAATAATGATTCATCACAAAAACTCGATCAACCAGTTTACTGAAGTAATGCTAGTCTTCTTTTAAGGTTGGTATTTTAATTTGTATAAAATTTATTATCTTTGTTTAATCTAAAACTTATCAAAAATATTTATTCAACTTCCGCGCTCAATACAATTATTTAAAGGCTACCGATCAAACTAATCACCTGAAATGATAAGATTTGGAAGGTAGGGGATAAAAAAATTTTTCGAACGATCAAGTTTTCTGTAACTTTTTATAGGCATAACTGTTTATGTAACACATAAATAACACTTTTTATGTTAATCAGCTTAAAGCGTCTCAGCGTAGTTTAACTCCGCTGATTTCCGATTTAAGTTTTACTAATTTGCCCTAATAGGGTGAATTAGTAAAACTTAAATCGAAAATTTTAGCAAAATCCTAAACTTTGACAATCTATAACTTAGGATAAAATAAAATACATGAAAAGGTATTTCTTATTACAACTACTTCTGCTTGTGTTGAAAGAAAAAAATATGTATATATTATTTTTGTTTATACAGAATTTTAGATTTTTATTAAATCTATATTTGAAATTTTTTAGGATTTTGCTCTGTTGCTTCAAATTGTTAAAAAATTATAAATAAAATTTAAAAATTCATTAATTTAAACATGATTATAGATCAAGAGAGTAAGAACTGTTATAAAATGAATCCAAATTATTTCTTAAAAACATGTTTTTTTTTATTAATATTTATAAAATTCTCCACCTATTAAGTTAAGTTACTAAAAAAAAAGAATAAATTGGTAGTTGATGCTCTTTTCCTTCTATTTCTTTCAAGGAAGATAGAACTACCAGCTAAATGGAAGCGGAAGACATCAATGATGTTAGATGAACATACAGTTGACGAACGTGACGAATCTAAAGCTTTGGAACACTACAGAATTCACACTTACAATGCGGTGATAGATCAGGTAGTTCAAAGTCTTGAGTCACGTTTCACTTCACATCGACAATTATATATGTAAATGGCATGTTTTGATACTTCAAACTTTGGTGATATTGCCATTTCGGGAATTCCTGAAAACAGTTTTTACAGCATTTTCAAATTTTTACCAGATGCCGACGTTGATGAAATAAAGACCTAACTGTTGTCATTCGATACTAACTATGAGATTTTGAAATTGTCTTTACCCTTAACGACAACATTGCGAGAGACTGCAGATCAAAAGGGTGACGTAGAAGAACAGCGCTGTTTTCAGCATACTAATGGAGCATGTGAATTGTGTCCATCTTGTGTGTTACGAATTTTTGCTGCATATAGACTCAACGATAAAACCTATCTTCGTCCTCTGAATCGAGCAAACTGTTTAAAGAATAGTTATTGCTATACTTTACGCGTCACTTGTACTTTTTTAATTCAATATAATTTTATTTATCTGTGATTTAGCTGCTCCTTTTAAGACTTATTTTTAGAAAGTTGCAGACCGGGGAGTCTTTGCGATATATGTATGGTCGAGAGGGCCCTTGATTATTTTCCACTGATCTCAAAATAATAACTATTTATTTTGAGTTATTATTTTGAGATCAGTGTTATTTTCATGGCCGGTAGTATATATACATTCAGTCCGCCACTGCTGGACATGGATAAAGATGGGCCTGTATATGTTAAATGGTAAAGATGGGCCTGTATGTTATCCTTATTACTTTTATTTTTATCTTTTTTGTTTGTTTGTTGCGGTCGCTCTCCGAGATTTAGCTCTGCTATAAGAGAGTGAACCATCCAGAATATTGAGTTTAATCTATTTAATTTTTTTATATTTCCATATTTCTGGTAAATATACTGTTGTTGTTGTTGTTTTTGTTATAAATTATAAGAAGTTATAAATTATGAGAAATTATTCACGGAGATTTGGTTTTAATTTATAATATAAATTACAATTCATTAAATTAATTTACAATTAATATTAAATTTACAATTAATAGCAATAATGTTTAGACCTGGTAGTAATTTTCTATACGTGCCACCACTCGAAATAATGAAAAAAGTTTTTCGTAGCAGAGGGTAGTTTCGATCTACCGACCTCTGGGTTATGGGCCCAGCACGCTTCCTCTGCGCCACTCTGCTGATTAATTCAAGGAATAAAATAAATTCATATACAAAAATAAATGCTAGTCTACTGTATATTTTTTATGTCAGATTCTGTTTATATTTATGTCAGAAAGTATTGAAGTATTAACTTTTGATTAATATGCGTAAAAAAATATCAAACTTTTTGACAGCTATAATTTATCTAAGGCACAATTAGTTTCTAAAATTTAATATTTGAAATTTCAACAATCTTGTTGATATAAATGGTTAATTTCTGTTACGGTGCTACTTATTCATTTTTTGAAGAAGTAGAAGAAGCTTTTCTAAAGTTTGCAAAGATAACTTCGAATTAATCGGCATACAAGAAGAACAGTATGAATCAAACATGTTTTGATCATGTTTAACATAATCGCCTATTTTAGGTAAGTGACATAAATTAAATGATTTTAAATAGAAATACTAAATTTAAATACTAAATTGCTCATAATCTTATTTGCTAAATTAAAGTATATTAGGTTTTAGGTAACAAGTTATAAAAAGGAGGTTTTTATTATAACTTTGTCAATTCTTATCTGATTGTCTGTAAAAAAAACATTGTTTTATGAAATATGCAAATGCATATTTCATAAAACAATGTTTTTTTTTAAATTAGTAACTTTTATATAACAAATAGTTGTTATACTTTATTCTGAGCCATTACTAAATATTAGAGGGTATATCTGAGAATTGATGGTGGGCGTATGGGTAGTGATTTAACACAACCTAGTAGCTGAAAGAATATCCTGTAAGCCTTCAACTTTTAGTTGTTCTGACATTACCAATTTTAAATCAGAACAACAATATTGTTTTCAAAATAGTAGTAATATTAGTTATTAGTTGTTAATGTTGCTCTAAACAAATCTAATGAGTTTTTTGCTGCACTCACTATGACAGCTGCTATGCTTAGCCAGTAATCAAGAACCCTTGATTGCTAGCTAAGCATAGCAGCTCTAAAACAATTAACCGATTTTGCTGTAACAACTTTAACTCTGTTTATCTTGTCAATACCGTGCATAAGTTTATGTAATGCTATCAAATCTTCTCTTTTTTTTTCTCTCAGTTAGAGTTGTCAAGCCTAAGGCAATAAGTTGATCTTCATATTTAAGACTGCTAATTAATGAAAGAATTTTGGTTGTTCTATGTTGTATTTTTTCAATTGCATTACAGTCTCCTTTCTTATAAGGAGACTAAACCAGAACTGCAAATTCAAGAAGTGGAAGAATGTTAAATAAGGAGATCTCATAAGTTGACAATCGAAACTTCCAAATAATTTCTTTATTTATTCCAGCATTTTATTTGTTTTCCTAATTGCCATAGTTAAATTTAATTCAAAGATCTCATTTAAACTTTGAATCAGGAAGTTGTATACCATTAATGAAAAATGGATAGTTATTTATTGGTGGAGGCATAATGCATCACAACGCGCTTGTTTATGTTGAATTTTAACAACCAGTCTTAAGTTTATTGAAATGCTTTGTCAGACAATGTCACCTTTATTACTCTGTGTCTCCTATTTGTAAGAAAAGATGCAATTCATTTCAGTACTAATCCATTAATACCGTAGAGCAACTGTGTCAAATACCTCTGCAAAATCTAGTAGGACAACATTAGCTGGAGTATGATTTTTAATGTTTAATGTTATAAAATCAATTGTTTCCAATAGATTTGTGCATGATTTATTCTTTATGAATCCATTTTGATTTTCTGTTAGCAAATTGTTTTTGTAAAAACAAGTTTCATATTTATATTTTAACATCTTCTAGTATTTTGCGCACAGATGGAGTGAAGGAAACTGGTCTATAATTAGCTGCAACTGCTTTGTCATCTTTTTTGAAAAGAGGAGTTGTATTTGCAGATCTAAATTAAATTGGGAGCTGGCTTAAAGCTAATGATTCTCTGAAGAATAATCTTAAAGGAAATGTAAACACCTCTTAACACCTAAAAGAATAATGTTAAAGGAAATGTAAACAACTCATAGCACCTAAAAATTCATAAAAACCTATGAAAAATTCTTTAGCATGGCAAGGTGAAGTTTAACGTGTCTGAAGGCTTTATTTTTCTTAAGACTCTGAATCCTGTTCAAAACATTGTTATAACTGATTTTGTCAGAAGAAAGATCAGAAAAATTTGTAGCAAATTATTCTGATCTATCTCATGTTTTTTTTAGGTTGCTGATTTTATTTAATTAGTAAAGCAAAAAATTGTTGATGTTTCTGACTTCACCATTTAACACTGTAGGTAATATCAGGGGCTTAATACAATAGGGTGGGTGGCAGTGGGAATAGCAGGATTTAATTCTAGTGTAGCTTGCAGTCAAATGCACAATTTTTAACAGCTGTTTCAATATAATTCAATAGAATTTAATATGCTTACATAAGTTTTTCACTAAGGTGATATGCTTACTAAGGTTAATATGTTTACATAAGTTATTTACTAAGGTGAGAAATAGAAAAAACAAATTTTAACAAGTTTACAAGATTTTTTAAAGGTCAATATAATTTACACTGAAAGTTGTTGTTTTTATAAATAAACAGTTGTTATATTTTTATTCGGAACCATTACTAAATATGAGAGGGTTTATCTTAGAGTTGGTGGTGGGCCTATGGTAAAGATTTAACACATCCTACTTGCTGAAACAATAACCTGCAAGCAAAGTGTGCGTGGGGAAAATCTCCAAAAATTAATGAATATTCCCTCCGTGTATTAAGCACCTACGAATATGTTTGCAAGTATTATGGTGTTGGTATAAATAGCTTAGCAACTCAAAGAAATTTTAAAAGAGCCAGCTCAAAGGAATTTTAAAAAAGCTCTACACTTAAAAAAAGTAAGTGTGAATATTGTCATATTATATTTTATTTCTATCTATATTTTAGAACAGCGCTACCCCAAAATAGTTTTAAGGCCTTTTGTTTTTTTTTTAATCATTTTTTCAGTCAATTTCTTTAAAATTGATTATTAAAAAAATTATTGGGGCGGCAATGCCCCTCCTGCCCACCCGGTTGCTATGGGCCTGATACATAGTAAGTGACTGGGGCCATGGCTCTGGCTAAAATTTATACTTTTTTCAAACCCAGCACCGGCTTCAGAAAAATTTATAATATTTTATATATTTACATACATTTACTATTTATTAAATACTGCCATATATATATATATATATATATATATATATATATATATATATAATATATATATATACATATACATATATATATATATATATATATATATATATATATATATATATATATATATATATATATATATATATATATATATATATATCCTAGTTGGCGACTTTCGGGGACACGTTATTTTTGTTCCTGTTCTGTTGTTTTTTTTTACTTTTTTTATACTATTTTTATCATATTTAGATTTTTTTTTTAAATTTTTATTTTATTTCTATTTTTATTTATACATATTTAAATTTATTATTTTATTATATTAAGTATATATTTTTTATTAATTTTTGTTATTTTTATTTATTTTATATTATATTTCATTTTTAACTTCATCTATTTACAAAAACGAATAATTACAATAATATAACCAAATTTAAACCTTGATTGCAATCCTAACCCTAAGCCTGACCTTGATGCCTGGCCAAACCAAACCCTCAGTCCATGTAGCAGCACTCTCTTGCGAGTCAGGCTATTTGTCAGTCGATGTATGTATTTTCATTCTCTATAAAAGTTTCTTACAGGTATATTTTTTTACAAAAAAAAATCATGCTTACGGGTACAAAAAATTAACGGGTACACTAAAATGTCCCCAATAATGCTAATGTCCTTGTAAGTGTTCATTTTTTTGTAAAATCTGTCCCCGTAAGTGCTAAACTATACATATATATATATATATATATATATATATATATATATATATATATATATATATATATATATATATATATATATATATAGTGATTTTCTACTAATTTATATATATATATATATATATATATATATATATATATATATATATATATATATATACATATATATATATATATATATATATATATATATATTCATATATATATACATATATATATATATATATATATATATATATATATATATATATATATATATATATATATATATATATATATATATATATATATGTATATATATATATATATATATATATATATATATATATATATACATATATATATATATATATATATATATATATATATATATATATATATATATATATATATATATGTATATATATATATATATATATATATGTATGTATGTATATGTATATACATGCATACATACATACATATATATACATACATACAAATACATACATACATACATGCATACATACATACATATGTATGTATGTATGTATATATGTATTCTGCTTAAACTATTATATATATGTATATAATAGTTTGAGCAGAACCATGATAGTATTTAAAAAAAAAAAAAGAGATACAACCTTACGATGATGGAAGACTGCCTCAAAGTTGGCAGATAAAGCAGGTCCAACCACATTTACAATGTGCTTTCAGACCTCACAAATAACAACCCTCTCACTCTGAGAGTGAGAGGATTGTTATTTGTGAATATAGGAATATAGTTAAGAAACAGTACAGGAGCAAAGAACATTGCATTTGTAACCATTTTCATTTCAAGTAACCATTAAAGTTACTCTTCTTCATTTCCAGTTATTGTTTTATGTATTCCCAATACCTTTTTAAGTTACCTTTAAAGTTATTGGGAATGAAGACGAGTGAGACCTTAAATAATAAATGCTTTGGTTAGAAAGGAATAATTTATCATCTCAAAACCTTTGTATAAAAAAACAAATAATAAAGAGAAGACTGATTGTAAGGTAATTTTAGAGATCTATAGTATCTAAAAATCAGAACCACTTTATTTAATACTTATTAATAGTTTATTGAGAATTATGGAGAACACCATAATTCTCTATAAAATTGTAAGGCTGTGATGGAAATGTTGTGTGAACCACAAGCTGTAGAAAAGTTTAATTGAGAATTGACTTCAGAATCAGAATCTGAAGTGATATGGATACCTAAAAAAGAGTTAATCTGTTTAACTGGAATGGAAGGGAGAATATGGTATATTATAATAATCAAATTAGAGGAAATGTTTTTTGCAAATAACTCTGCCTTAATTGTGGAAAAAGTAATAAGATCGTGAATTCAGAAATGGACTGTTAGACTTACTGTAATAGACACTGTTGAAAATTCTCCAAAAGTCTCTAGAACCAAACATCTAATATAAAGTTGTTAAGAGATGTTCTTGTAAAGAAAAAGGCAAAAAAAAATGATTATTATAGCTACTGCACAAGAAGGTAAAAAGTGTCGATTAGAATATGGCTTGACTTAAAACCAACAAAGAAGGAATAAAAGCTTACATACCTGCTTGAATCCAGGAGTTTAGGTAAGAGATGCATTTATGTATACATAATATGGATATATATTGGTATAAACATTTATATTTGCCATATATTTAGATGCTGGAATACAATATCTTTAAATATTTATATAAACTTTAGTATTTATATGGTGTAGTATTTGCAAAAAAAAAGAAGATGATGATCAGATGGATGTGTGGTATGACTCTAACAAGGCAAGAAAAAGAAATGTAATCTTTGACAGAGATTAGAAAAATCATTGTATTGAATAATATTTTTCAGAGAAGATTTAAGTGATTTAGGTATCAGCATGTAGAGAGTTTCATAATAATTGAGGTAGAAGTAAGAAAATGTGTAGAGAATACATTAAATATGGTATGAACAAACTTTAGTTAGGAAAAGATGATGCTTAAGATTGTATATATTAAAGAAACAGCTGAAAAGAGAAGGCTAAAGCTTGATGATGATGATGATGATGATGATGATGATGATGATGATGATGATGATGATGATGATGATGATGATGATGATGATGATGATGATGATGATGATGATGATGATGATAATGATGATGATGATGATGATGATGATGATGATGATGATGATGATGATGATGATGATGATGATGATGATGATGATGATGATGATGATGATGATGATGATCATATGGATGTGCGGTAATGCAACTAAAATGTTCTGTATTGCAACACGCTTGTTCGGTAAAGCATCTCTTGTTCATTATTGCAACTTTTTTGTTCGCTATTGCAACTCTGTGTTCGGTTTTGTAACTTGAACAATTTTTTTTTTTTTTTATTAAGTTGTTACGTCGTCAGCCGGCTCAAAATAATTTTCGTTCAAAGTTAATTGAGCAGACAAAAATTTGTTTGGTGAGTGAAGTAAAATATTGATATTAAAACAAAATTGTATTTTTGAGAAGTAAATTTATGGAAATCTAATATATATCAGTAGCCTATATAATTACACATGTGTTTTAAGTTTTAAAATTCTTTTATTTAATTTTTATTTACAAAATTTACACAAAAAAACCAATTAACTAAAAAGTGTGTAGATATATTTGAGTACAATCAGTTTTGAAGTTTATCCAACTTTACAAATCAATTTGTGATATACCTAAAAGGTATAAGCTGGCCTGAATCAAAGTGATTTATATCGATTTCTACTTAACAATTGAGTAAAAGTTTATTTAAACCACTCTGATACTAGATAGCTAGAATCTAAGTTGTGTAAGTAAACTTCTACTTAAAATTTCACCTAAAACATTACAAATTTAACCAGCTTATAATAATGTTATCAATAATATACTATATGCTTATGATAATATTATTAATAATATTTTATATGCTTATAATAATGTTACTAATAATATACAATGTGCTTATAATAATAATGTAAATAATAGAGTAGTTTCAGTCACTTTTAAGTTAGCATAAAAGTTATAATTTTTATTTCTTAAGTATATGATTGTTTAGTATTTGTTTACAATATTAAAAGATTTTATTCATAAAGATTATTTTTAGATTAGATTTTGTCCTTTTTACTCAAGACAAAATTTAATCTAGAGATGGCTATTTTAAAGAACTCTATTGACAAAGTTTAGATGCGGAACTTGTTATTTGCAAGTAATTTTTAAATAAGAATTCAGTTATTTTCTTTTTTTTATTTACGAATATAGTGTTAAAATTATAGATGGTATATTTTTAAACAGTAATAATATAATTTCAAAAATTTTAATTTATATTTACAACAGCTATGTGTAAATATAAATTAAAATCTTTGAAATTATATTATTACTGTCTTCTTCTTAAATATAAAGATTTAGTTTAAAAAAATTAAATTTTTCACTTGTATTATTATGTGTATTTTTTATGTGTATTCTCTTGTATTATTATGTGTATTTAAGTAATATATCTGGCGAAAACTTTTAATCATACTCCAACAATTTTATCTTTTGTTTCTTTAAAAGGTAATGATGCTTATTTTACAATTAAAAGACATTAAATTGTTTTACCATATTTACAATAGTTTAGTTTAAATGTTACTATTTTGTTTGGCAAGTTTAATATATTTTGCAATGCAAAGTTGATTTTAAAAAAAGAAGTAGATAATATTTAATTCTTTTACATGACAAAACTTTTAGAAAAAAACTTTTGATCTCTTATGTTTTGTTTATTAGTGAAATTTAGCGTTGTATAATTTATGGACAAACCCTATTCAATTCCACTTTTAAATCAAAGAAATTCACTAATACTTTAGTTTTTGCTTTTTTTATTTTTTATTTTAGAAATTCATGGAAAACCCGATTATTTTACCTAGCTTTTAAATTATTAATTAGTTTTTAGACTTGTCCTAAAAGTTAGTTAAAATTACGATACTTACAGCAACTATAATTTTATTGTAGTGAAAATTTTGTTATCGCACAATCAAACAAAATGTACTATGCAAAATTTTAAAAAAAGACTTGAAATAAAGAGATAATTGAGTTTTTTATCCTGGGGAAAATAAAAAACTAAGTTGTGCTCTTTAAAGTACTTTCAAATGTTCTGTGATTGTTATAGTTCAAATTTTTAAAGTTACTAACTCAATATTACATCATGTGTAAAAATGTGCATTTGAATACAATTAAAATGTGTCATTTCTCAGAAAAATTTAAAAGTGCTTATTTAAGTTTTTCAAAAAATGGCATGTAATTTTTTAATGCTTTGATTCTGACATTAAAGATTTGTTATCAAAACAACATTTAAAGTTTAAAAATCAATCATCTTCAAGAATTACAACACAAACTAATTTGCGTGGTTTTAAAAACTATATCAATTTGATCCTGTATATTTGTACAAAGATATCATTAGGTTTTATAGTTAATTTTACTCTTATTGCATTTATATTTTTATGTATATAATATTTATAATTTGTCTTTAAACAATATTCATAATTTTTACATATAAATTCATAATTTATATATATAAATTTTTCATATTTTATATCTATATATCATGGATGCGGAATCCCTAAAAAAAGACTCTGGAGTTAAAGGTCAAAAAAAGATTACTTCTTTCTAGTTTTTAGTATCCAGTAGCTTTAAAGATATAAAAAGGCCTAAGGGCTACTAATGGGGAAAAAAATCAAGACTTATACATCAGTAGAACAATAATTTTTGAACCCGAAGTCCAAGGTATAAAGGCGGCATAGACTCCAGGACTTCACGCTTAAAAGCAAGAGTCCTTTGAAGGACTTTTTGTTTTATAGGAGCCCTTTTAGGACTCTGCATCCCTGGTGTATATATATATATATATATATATATATATATATATATATATATATATATATATAATATATATATATATATATATATATATATATATATATATATATATATATATATATATATATATATATATATATATATATATATATATTTATACAAGTTTATGCATTTTACTAAACTTATGTATTATATTAAATATATCTTCACATTTAGTGTCTTGTTCCAGCAATAAAGTCGTATATGAAAGATTTAAAAAGCTTCATCAACTCACAACAACAGACTCTAGATTCCAATATTAGACTAAATTTAGACCTAAAAGGTTGTGACAAAACCCTGAAGGTTTAATCAAAAAAAAATGTGTTTTGAGTTTATATTGAAAATATGTTACTATTGAAAAAGTTTAATAAATTGCATTTGCATGCATTTACTTGTATATTCTAGTTCAAAAAAGTTTATTATATATTAGTTAGATTACTGATTTAAAACAAAGTTGGTTGATTTTTTTAATTGAATTTTTTTACAATATATAAAATTCAATTAAGTGTAACGAACTATTAAAACTTATCAAAATATTAAATTGAAATTTCTCATGCAATCTACAATTGTAGGATTGTCAGCTTTAAGTTGAATGTTAGTTGCATTTAAAATTATGTTTTTTTAAAGGATATATATATATATATATATATATATATATATATATATATATATATATATATATATATATATATATATATATATATATATATATATATATACATAGAGTAGAGCGGAATTAATTAGCAATCATTTTCACTTAATTGATTTATCTTTAGATCTAGAGTTTTTCTTTCTTTTTTAGTTTTGTTTTATATTGTGATATTGATGGTAAAAACTTTTTAACTAACAACTGTCTTATCATCAGAAGTCCTTAACGATGCTAAAGACTTCTGATGATAAGACGGTTAAGACTTCTGAGAACATCCTAATAAAACAAAATTTTTTTAAGAAATCGGCTTTTGACATATAAAATGGTTTACATTTAAAAAAATTGCTCTATTATTAGGTCCAGGAATTATAAAGACTAAATTAAATTTACTTGGAAGCGTACCAAAGATTCTTGTAATATGCTTCGTATCATTTGGTATGATACGGTTAAAAATCTGTTAGTTATACAACAAATACTTTTGAAAAAAAAAAAAGAGTAGGACGAAGTGGGTCTAAAATTTAAAATTGAGTGGAAACAAATCTGTATATAAAGATTGTGTTTTAAAATACAAGTTTTTGATTTTTTTAAATATTGTTCAAGTATTTATACACTTGTAAGTTTTTATTTTTTCACGCTTAAAAGATAAAATTGTTTTAGGGTAAATGCCAATGTGTGTTATTGTATGGGTATAATTTTGTAATTTTTTTTTTACGCAAATTTATTTTGCTCTATTATCGTGCTCCGATGACTAATAGCCAATTTTTTTAATTGCAAACTCAAAATTTATGGAAGTAATGAATCATTATGATAAAACAAGCATACTGACAAAATATTACTGCTTCATTGGTCTAAGATTTGCAATAACCCATGATTTTTAAAACGTTCGATATCTTGCTTTGTCTTCCCCTATCTATAAAAACTATTGATATTCTTTTAATTTTTTGGACTTGATGAGATGGCCGTTGAAAGTGCATATATATTTTGTAATCTATTCAAATTTCCAGATAGCGCATCAACTTTTATAAAAACAAAAAAGGTTCGTCTTAAGATGATACGATCATTAAATAAATAATCTCATTTCTAGTACAACTTAACCCTGTTTAAACTGGGTCTTGTAGGTCAAAATTATATGGCGTGCCCAAAAAAAGATTCCATTCTAATAAATCCATTATTAAATTTATTTTTGGATAAAAATACACTTAGTTCTAATACTTTCTTTGACACAATTACACTTTTAAGGCACTTTTTCCAAATAATACAACTTAATTCTAAATAACATTATTTAATTGTTAAAACTGTAAATAAACAGCTTTTATTTTACATGGAAAAAATTGTTGTTTTGAAGTATGGATTTTAAATAAATTTTAAATTTTTTCTCAAGCTTAAGGTGGTCCACAGAATAGGCAAACTTTTGATAGAAAAACTTTTTTGATTTATATTTTTCACAAAAAATCTTGTTCTATAAACTATTTTAAAGAATCAACTTTTTAAAAATGTCTCGATTAGCCAGTTATTTAAAATAAGAGTGAAAAAACTAGCAATTTTTGTGATCAAAATATTTATCATATCAAGTTGAAAATTGGTTTATATACTAATGAGGTATATACCTCATTAGTATATAAACCAATTTTCAGCTTGATATGATAAATATTTTGATCACAAAAATTGCTAGTTTTTTCACTCTTTAACCAATTTTGAATTTAACATACCACAATTGTGGTATGTTAAATTCAACTTCTTGTAACTGATGAGACCTTTTGTATTGAAGTATAAGGTCACTGAGAATTTTGCGTTCTTCCAGCGTGGTTAGATCTAGTATTTGGAGTCTTTTTTCGCAATTAAAATATTTAATCGACGATATAATCTTTGTTGCAAGTTTTTTCACACGTTCAAGAAGTACGATTTTCAATTTAAGATGGGAAGACCAGGCTTGTACGCAAAACTCCAGATGCGGTTGAACGTATAGCTGGTACAATTTTTTCCAAAGCTGGAATCAAAATGACTTTTTGAGGCGACCAAGCATTTGATTTCCGGCCGAAGCTGCTGCTTCTACTTGTGCTTTCACTTTGAGATTGTCGGATATTTTTTTTTTTTCTTTAACATGTTTATTTTACAGCTACAAAGTATTTACAATTGGCCAATCACCGATTGGCGAATAAAGATATACAAATATAAATATCGTAAACATAAAGTCCAAAATAAATAAGGAATAAATCTAAAACATTGTTACATTCAACTTTGAGACATGATAAAAATAAATACAAAGTACACAATAGAATAACGTGAACGTAAAATTTACCCAAGAAATAAACCTTCTATATTCTTTCAACTAAAATAATATATATATATATATATATATATATATATATATATATATATATATATATATATATATATATATATATATATATATATATATATATATATATATATTGATATCTATTTTTGAAAATTATATTTATTTTTACGATATTTCGAGGGAATATGGATACCCTCGTTATCAAGTATATAAAAACCGTTTTTTTTGAACGGTTTTTATATACTTGATAACGAGGGTATCCATATTCCCTCGAAATATCGCAAAAATAAATATAATTTTTGCAAATAGAAATCAATCCATAAAAAGAAGTTTTATTTTAAAATATTTATACAAATAAAATCTATTAAAGATGTCAACATTTAAAATATATATTATATATATATATATATATATATATATATATATATATATATATATATATATATATATATATATATATATATATATATATATATATATATATATATATATATATATATATATATATAAAAGTATGATAAAAACAAGATTTGTATAAGATTGAAGATAATAATTAATTGTTTGTAGTTATAGAAAGCTCGCAGAAGACTGGGGTCAGTCTTGTCATCGAGTACCTTCTAGACGTGTAATACACATAAAAATCAGTTGCATACGTGGTAAATATGTATGTGGTACATATATGCCTTAAAATTATTAATGTTACTATCTCCTTTTAGTATTGTTTTTATTGTTTCCTTTGAAAAGTTACATTTTTTGTTTTATTAGGGTTGTTTTATATTATTTTTATTTTTAAATTTTAAATTGGAGTTTAAAAAAACTCCTTGTAGTTGTTTAAATTGATTATTGTAGACTTTAACTTTATTTTCAGGGACTGTTTGTTGCTTAAATTTATTAGCGATTCTAGAAATTATTTTTTCAAATAAATAGGGACCACGATGTTTTATTGAAAATTTTGAGAGTTTAGTTTTTTCAAAGGGTATCTTAAAGTTTCCCGTTGCTCTTGTATTGTATTTGTTTACGCTGTTTTCAAAAAAATGTGCTGTAAAATGTTCTGGAACCCGACTTAGTTTATATTTAAACATGAAAAATATATTTTGATAAATATTAATTTGAAAAATATTTAAAACGTTCATTTGCTCCAGTAGGGGTTGAGCATGAGTAAGTTTGTTTTTGTTGAACACTAGTCTTGAAGCGTGCTTTTGACGCAGATAAAGCGGTTTTAATTTAGTTATGTGGGTACTGCCCCATGCTATATTGGCATACATAAGATAGCTATATATGAATGAAAAATAAACGAGTATTAGACTTTTTTGTGTCAAGAAAGATCTTGCCTTATAAAGTAAACCTATGTTCTTTGGTATTTTTGTATTTATATAGTTGATGTGGGGCTTCCAAGAGATGTGTTCATCAATTAGAACACCTAAAAACTTTGTATTTTGAGCTCTTTCGATGATTATATTTTCTATATTAATTGTTGGTAGGTTAAGGGGAAGCTTTTTAATTTGTTGAGTAGACTGGAATAGAATATATTTAGTTTTATCTATATTGAGTGATAGTTTGTTTGATTTAAACCATATATTAATTTTTTTCAATTCATTATTTGTTTTTTTAAATAAGTCTTCAATAGTCTTTGATGAGTAAAATAAATTTGTATCATCGGCAAACATTATAGTTTTGAAAATATTAGAGGCATTTGGGAGATCGTTTATGTAAATAAGAAACAAAAGAGGAGCAAGAATGGACCCTTGGGGTACACCACATTTTGTTTTCAGTAAATTCGAGTTGCTTTTTTTATCTATAATAACACACTAGTGTCTGTCATTAAGGTAGTTTTTAAACCAAGTTAAAGCTTTATTTTTAACGCCATAATTTTCCATTTTTGTCAGTAAAATCTCATGGTTGACGATGTCAAACGTCTTTGACAAATCAATTAAGATACCTAACGTGAATTTTTTTTGTTTAAATGATTTACTAATCCTATTTGAGAGATCAAGGATTGCATGCTCTGTTGCGTGTCGCTTTTCAAAACCGTATTGACCTTTATTAATAATTTTATTAGTTTTTAAAGATTTATTTAATTTATTGTAGATAATTCGCTCAAGAAGTTTTGCGATTACCGAAAGGATTGAAATAGGTCTATAATTGTTTAAAGAGTTGGCTTCTCCTGATTTATAGATTGGTATAATTTTTGATATTTTAAGCAGATCAGGTACAATACCTGTTGTAACTGATGAGTTAAATATTTGGTAAATAGGATTACGTATTTCCTCAAAAACATCTATCACTACTTTGCAAGAGATATCATCGATTCCTGGGGACTTTATTTTAAATGATTTCTTAGTATACTAAGGTTATATATTAGTATCTCAAGGTTGCGCTCAATGCGTGTTGGAGATTATGTCGATTTCCGTTGATATCAGCCGTGGTAGATATGTACTGATTTATTTTAGCGGCAACCAACGTGCAGTTCTTTGCACTTTTCAATGTTGAAG